AAACTGAAAATATTTCCAAAAATATTGAATAATATAAGAAAAAGGTGCAGAAAAATTTGAGAAAGTCTGGTGGTGAAAAGGTTATCATCATTTGTCTCTTTTGAGTTTTGTGTTTCTGGATGTATTCCAAGGTTGCCACGTTACTGAACACGCTCGCGACATAAAGAGGGTCGTTTTCACAACCTGTAAGTCTGTAAGCCTATTTGCATGAGCTGAATATTCATGTATGTTGTTCCCAGAAATATTTTACAAAAGCACATAGGGATAGCATATGGATATAAATAATATTTTGTTCGACCAGGCCTGGTTGACGCCAGGATAGCGCATTACAAATTGACATTTGACAGAGAGATGGCCACACAGCTCTGTCATGTAATCCCAAACATGAATATGACTTCTGTGGCAAAATGCACTTGCAATTTGCACATACAGAAAAAAAAAGTCAGGAGAGACAACAGTGACACTCAATGTCCGAAACTGTCGCCTGGCACAAAAAAATATTAAAAAAAAAAAATTTATACAGAATCAACTTGTGTGATACAAAAGTGAAGCTGGGACAGTCGAATAATATTTTGCTGACTGGAATAAATCCATGTTGACTCGAGCAAAGTAACAGAGTTTAATAATGTCACTGCACTTTATTTTTGCTATTTTCGCAGCATTTTTCAGTATTAGTCATGGAATAGCTGGATTTGTACATTTATTTTGCTAACAATATATTGTACTGGGTAAATCAGATTTTGTGATTTTTGTGAATAGCACTATATTTAGACACACACTGGTCTGAAACAGATCAGGCATTTGTAAAAAAATTCACTATGAATAAAAATAGATTCAAACCTGTATTTTGTGTATCGGTAACGCATCAAAGAATTCGTTGGCTATAAAGCATGTCGGTACTCCTATCAAAAATAAAACAAACAAACCTGTTGTTAGAATAATAGAGATCCACAAAATTTAATTTTGTCAAAAACTATGAAGCAATTTTAGCTTTCTTATTAATATATACATTAGATCAATGTGAATATTTTTCAAATTTTTAGAGGTTGACAATTAGAAATACTTGGTATAGAATATAGTAGAAAATTTTTGTCTTCTTCTACATCATATTTGTGTATTACTGTGGAATACTTTATTTTCGCTGGAATTAATTTTCGCTGAAAGGGATTTTTGGGCGTTTTGTATGGAATTTATTTTCACTGATTTTTGATGAGTTTAATGTGAAATAAAGGAAAAAAGGTATATTCGCTGGATTTTATTTTCACGGAATCTTCACTTCAGCGAAAATAGCGAAAATAAATTCCAAGTGAAAATAAAGTATTCTACAGTAGTTTACTGCTAATACATATTCCATTTTTTTTTATGTAATTTTCCACAGAACCCAAATACCTACAGACATGAATGGTTGTTGTGTTAGTTTAGTCATAGACCTTATGGTTTAGTCAAATAATCATCAAAGCTGAAAAAAGCTCATTTTTGTGTCAATTATTACTACCGGTACTGTAAAATAATTTATTTTCGCTTGGAATTAATTTTCACTGAAGGAATGATTCAGTGAGAATAAAATTCAGCGAAATTAAATTTTTTTACCTATATTTTCTATTCAACTCGGCAGAAATCAGTGAAAAAAAAACTCCATACAAAGCAACTAAAAAGTCTTTTCAGTGTAAATTAACTCCAGCTAAAATAAAGTATTTTACAGTAAGTCATTTGTTACAAGTAAAAATTATCCCAAAGAAAGAGAATAATGAGTGATCATCAAAGACTGCTTCATTGACAATTGTTTTATTGACGAGAGATAATAATTCTTGACGTCAACCGCAGTCAATTAGTGTCCCGTCGTATCTCACCTTTTGGAATGTCCGAGATGCTTGTATGCCATGTAATAGGAATGCCAGTTTTGCTCAACGCTGTTTTATAACTACCAGACAGCACTGCATGCTCATTGTCCTTGTTGTTTGTAGATGGATTTTGTTTTGTGTCTCCTGTTAGTTTTTCTTCCTGCATTTGACTCAATTTTGGGCTAACCTCGACCAAATGAAGTGACACTGCATCGTGAATTCCTTGGAACTTTGCAAATACCTGTCGTAGAGTAATACACATGTAGAACTGTAAATGTTTTGAAGGCCATCATTTTTTCCACCAAAATTGGGTGCAACGTTTTTTCTTTTCTTATGTATTTTTGATAATTTTAGATAAATTAATAATAATTTCTTATTTCCTTCAGATCTTAATCAAAATTTTGGAAAAGTCATGAAAAAAATTATGTTTTTTTTTATTTTGTGTATGATGAGGAATGACAACTTAGGCACTCAAAATTTTAAATGTACACTGCTAGGAATTTTCCCTAGTTGATGATTTAATTGCATTCATGAGATCCACATTTCATAAAAGTCGCTGTAGCTAAAACATTTCGGAATCAAAAACAATGATCTCTCATGGAACTAAAGCAATTTACAGTGTTACTAAAATAAAGTTCCAAATTTATTTTCAGACGAAATGCGAAATTTGAATGAGGAATCATAATAACATCTTTGATGAAAATAATTCATATAAATAAGTAATTAAATAAAAAATCCAGGATAATTAAAACAAATTTTTAACTACTGAGGTGTATCTGCTTTATATGATTATATACAAGCAAATGGACCAATGAATCACAGCACAGAATCTGAAAGTGAAACAACTATGATATATATAAATTTCAAATTATTTTAAAAACGTGGCAGAAATATAAAAGATTATTTTTAAAACTGATTTTTATTTTTGCATAAACTCACCCTTAAAATATCGTCTGATAACGTTCCTCTGCCTGGTCCCAGTTCAACAACCTGTAAAGTCTTTGGTTTTCCAGATATCAGCCATTCATGAACAATCCATATTCCTATCAACTAAAACATCAATAATTTAATTCACTAATTATCTAATTAACTAAACCATGATTAATAGAGCAGGTGCACCGAAGGGTACCAGATGGGGAGGGAGAAGGAGGAATATACTTACCTCGCTAAACATTTGACTTATTTCGGGTGATGTAATAAAATCACCTTGTACTCCAAATACATCTTTCTTCATGTAATATCCCTAGAAAATTCACAGTGAAATGAACATCATGGAGCAAACTTGATTTAAACTTACTCCTCCTAACAAACCCATTTGATCTCTATAAAATCTGATGAATCTGATTGGACACGCCTGTAAAAAACAGGCGCAGCATATGGCAACAGAAATTAAAAAAAAATGGTGGCATGCAGACTGCTTCAAGAGGGGGAAGTTTAATTATTATATATGAATTACCATATGGAATCTGTTGAGGTAAAATAGTGAAGCAATGGCTGAATGAACGAACCTGTCGAAGATGATAACAATACAGATAATGAACACTACAATAAAAGACTATAGTTGAGGGGGATCTCTCCAGTCAAATTGAAAGGTCAAAGGATGTGCTGATGGTGGTTGTAAGTTGTTATTAGTCAAGCAATTGACCTCAGAAAGCCCTTTAATGGAAAGCAGGGCAATGAAACTGGAGGTATAAGAGACTGAGGCATTAAAAAATATAAACTTTAACAAATCAACTTGCGTTTTATTTATTACTGTCTTCATCTTATATTCCTCACTGATACAACATTTATTTACGATGATACCGAGTAAGAACATATACTTACAGAAAGAGGACTGGTCAAGACAGTTTGCATGTAATCTGCAACACTAATTGGACCATTGATGTGGATTGTTTGTTTTATCTGGTTCAAAAGCAAGTTCTTGGGATCTGTTTTTTGGCAAAATGATCTTCTGTTCATTCTATGCTTGCAGCCTAGAACAAGAAATACATGTTTAAACATATGCATTCTTCGGTATATATAATCATTTGTAGGTAGAAATGCTAAATGTAGAAGTACTAGCATTGGTCAGATTTTCCTGTGCAATAATATACATAACATTTTAGCGCATATGCGGGCGCCACATTGGAATGTGGACAACTCCATCGTTTGACATGTCTACATTGTGTCGTCGCGGTAACAAATTAACCTTTGGACAATATGGTTGCTAAAATTATTGTTGTTATGATGACAGAAAGAATTATGATTCCAGATATACAGACTATAAATATAATAATATTATATTAGTAAGTAATAAACAATGACAGTTCATCTTAAGTTAAAAGTAATTATTAAAGAATAGAAAAATAGAAAAAGCGACGATAAAGACAGCAAGTCTAGGGAAGATGAGAGATATCAAAACTACACAGACATGCTGACAAATCTAAGCGTGGAATTATGCTCGTGACTGAGATGGTTTTGTTATGAATTATGGTGATGTCTTTGACATTTTTGTATTTATAAATCCAGCATAAACAAGTTTGAACGCTTTCCCCACACGTTTTCAATCTGGCACTTCAACCATCATTTGACAGTTCATTTGAATGCCTTTTGTTTTTGGAAAACGTTTTCTTGGTTCAGTGATATCGCAGGGTTTAAACTCTAAGACGTTGAAAGACATCAAAAATGTCACAACCGAAATTTTCTGACAATCGCAAACAAACGCAATAGTAATACTAGTTGCGTTCACGCACAGCTCCTTAGCACGGGCTAAGAGATCAAATTCCTTAGCCCGTGCTAAGAAAACGTGCGTGAACGCTTAGCACGGGCTAAGGAATGCTAAGTACGGGTTAAATCTGATCCGAATTTAAGACGCGGTCTAGACCTTAGCACGGGCTAACGAAGTATGAGCGAACGCTTAGCCCAGGGCTAAGCGCCCTCTGCGGCGACCTTTGAGTGTGAAAATTGTCCCATGTTCGTATAACGACACTATTCCACCAGTCATTACTCCGCGCTCACTTCCACACTAATCGGGTCACTGTAGTAGAGCGTACAGCAGCTCCAATCGTAGACAAAATAAATTTGGTTCGCTGTCTACGACATGCATTAATAAAACGCTGTATTCTGTTACGCCCGTTGTATACTGTTTATGTGCATCCAAATAAGTGGTCCGTCTTCTCTCGCGTTCCTGTGCACGTCGCTTCAAAATTAGAACGAAACATGCCAGCAGCAGAAATAGAACCTCGCACGTGTCATCCATTTTTTGTTCGTAAATAGCGGCTTACCAAAGGTCACCAACTAATGGCAGCCCTTAGCCCGTGCTAACTACTGGCCCTCCCTGTGCGTGGACGCAATTGGGTCTAGCCGAAATGCAAATATGCTAGATAAGCCTAAATCAGCTTATATCTTAGCCCGTACTTCGTGTAACGTGAACACAACTATTGTAAAAGGGTTAATTATTCACTGGGTTTTAATTTTTCTTATTTTGCTGACTGAAAAATGTGCTGAATTATGTTAAATTTGGCATAGAAGACATTATCTAAATGATAAAACAGTAAGTTTAAAACCCTGTGAATATGCCTAAAATGCTAAATCAGTAAAATTTAAACACAGTGAAAATTAGTCCTTTTACAGTACTATTACTTGATCCGATCAGCCACAAATATATACAGATAACTTAGCCAACCCCCCCTGCCACTTGATGATATCAGACATTTAATCTCATTTCATTAACTCTGGATATTTTACCATCACAACTTAAATTCCATAAACATAACAAAGTTAATTTTAGAAATTATTTAAAAATTGAAATTTAATAGTGTTGCAATACTATAATAGGAAAACACATTTATCAATCAAAAAAAAGCCACAAAATTGTTTTTCGAGATATGAATTATTGAAATAAAAGTATGTTATTTTACAGCTGTTCTCATGAACTCAACGAGAGAAATTCTTTTTACACAAAATTATTCATGGACAAAAAAAAAAAAAAAGTTTGTTAGTTATATTAAAATTTCTGATATTGATAAAATTAGCATCTGCACTTGAACAATTTTTAGATGTTTTCGTTGTGAGAAGAGATTTCTCTCCTAAAAATTATTCTAAACCCTGTTACTCCAGCAAACGGACACCGATGTATTATTTGTATTCGTAGAATGGTGATAGATTGCATAGATTTATCGCTGATGTTTGTTCAGCTCGACCTCCTAATATTTCGAAATAGACAGGGTTCAATCACGTCTAGACCATGGACTCATGCAGGGGCGATACGCGTGTTATCACTGTACGAAATACAGTCAGCGTGAATATCATATAGACAGATTGCGACAGGGGACCGCGTCCCGTACTGTCAAACTACAATGCGTTGAAAACAATTCAAGCTGGTGATCGCGTTCATGTAGTGTAAGCGAACCACTCGCTAATACTAACCTATAGACGAAGCGGTAGATCTAATGATCAGAAATGGTATTCTTGATCGAATTAGCGCCATCGTTACACCACTGTCTGGAGGATCTGGAGGTATCATTCACTCGCCAGACCAACACACGTGAATATTGTTGTGGGAAGCCATACCTGCGCAAACCATGTGCGCAATGGACCTTGTTTTTACATTTAAGGTCATCCGACACCAGCTGAGATCATTTGTCAGCACATGATCTGTCAGCAACAAACTTTTATATTACTCAGCCCGACAACCAATAAATAAAAAAAATTATAAAATTTATTAGTTGTATGTGATACTTAGCATGGGAAATTAGGTAAACGGACAATATAATTTGTTCAAATGATGATCAGATATTGACATAGAACACATGGCAAAAATGTAAACAAACTAGTAAATGAGTAGTTTTATTGCATAACAATAGGCAAATCCAATGCAAAAAAAATGTTTGGTAAAAACGAACTATAAACGTATACTAGTGTACAACAAATAAGTGATCAAATAGAAGTAAATCGCATTGTGTAAAGTGAAATTAATTACAGAAAAATCTAAATCCGGAGAGAATAATAATTAAAGTTGCATTGCTACTCTGTATTTATTTATTTGCACCCCCCCCCCATCGGTTGTGATTATTTTGAGAAATGATAACATCAGTTGGTATCTGAGCACTGCAGCTACCCTGTACTCACATTCGTTATGTCTAATCACCAAATCAAACTTAACTTTTATTGTTGTAATTACTCAAGGCGTGTTTATTTAAAGATTCATTTTTAAATTCGATTTTATAATTCCATTGCATATTACTTCTAATGAACTGTACATAATACAAAGCCCCAGTGATAATTGCATGGGTCAGTGGAAGACCATTAAAAAAGGAATTGTAACTTTAGACAACTGACAACAAATTTTGAACAAAATTCAAATAGAGAAATATATGTCAACAGACAAAGATCCAAATTATAAAAACAACAAAAATAGGCGAAATGTTGTAATAATATGTTGTCTGAAAGGTGTAATACATGTATAAGGTTATTACGAAGATACCTCAAAGTATGCGCGAAGACAGTACAGCGGCAGTATCGACCGACGCGCAGCGGAGGTCGATTCGACAGCGTACTGTCTCAGGCTGAGTGCATACTTTGAGGTACCTTCGTAATAACCTTATTATTATACATCTTTTCCTACCAAGGATACATCATGGGAATGCCGAAATCTAAAACGTTTAGAACAGAATCAGCGAACTTCTTTGTATGGAGTTTGGTCAAACCTTGGTGGCAGCCATGTTTGTTTTTATTATTAGATGACGCTTGCGCGCGTAATCATTCCATATTTGGAATTCGCATTTCCTAATATGGTAGGATGTCAATACCCCGTAAAATACCGCAAAATTACGGCACGCTGTAACTTAGGGCCTTACGGTGACAGATGTATAATAATACAGCACAAAGAAGCAAGAATTAATATTGTTTAAATCAACTTGAACAAACCTCGCTATTTAAAAAAAAAATGAACACTACGATAAACCGATAAAGACTCTCCGTTTTCGACATTGTGCAGTTCTTTCGTTTTTATGAAAGAATATACAGTATCTTACCAAGTAAAACCACATTTATTAAAGTTCGTGTCCATACATACGCTACATATTTTGTGATTTTATTCAGTTGATTTCAGTCGTAATTCAAGACACGTCAAATGAAATGAAATGCAAAATTATCGAGAATATAACAATGATTTTTGTCATCGATATTCACGTGTAATTAGTATATTGGTATTATAAAAAAATTATATTTGTGTGCATATGAAATACATTTCGTTATGAAATATTCTTAATATATTTCTGAATTCACTTGTCAAAATCAGAAAAAAAAAACTAAAAATGAAAAAAATCACAATGTCGAAAACAAAGTCTTTATCGCAGTGTTATAGTTCCATCTATTAACCATATTAAACTATAAATGTGAATTTTTTTTTTATCCATAATGATAACAGTGTCTGAGTTTTATAACAACGTATGCTGGTATGGTATGAATATACATGAATGCCATTGTTATTGACATTTCAGCCATATTTAGAAACCCCGCTAAATTAGCGACCCATGACCCTGGCGTTCTGCGCAGACATGTATAGTTAGTTGAACGCACCATACGTCAATAATTTCAAAAATATCGTACGGATGTATTTATCTACTAGTACAATTAGATGTGATACCATGGATGTTGTAATAGATTTTGTTTTGGAAGCAGGCGTAAATTTAAGTACAACAAAAATCATCAAAGTGCACCAGAAATTATTACTATACCTGAACTCTGGTGATTTGCAACTTATATAACTGCGCTTCTCACATATACGTACACCCGACCAACCATCTTGCCCTACTGAAACGAACAAAAAGACACGCACAAATACACAGAAATACCAAGTTGTTTATTCGCATACTTAGTTTAAGATTCGTGTAATTTAAAAATAGGTTACTGGAATTGACAAAACAAATATCTGAATAAAAATACCACGTTGCATGAATAATTTCTATAAAAATGAACGTATTTTTTATTAAATATACAGATATATACTTTCTCTGGGCATTTTTGTATCATGGTTACTGTACACTAAATTTAACCGCGGTTTATATTAAGCATATCGGAAATATACATACATCTATAAATATTTCACGAAAAACGATATATTTTAGTAGTTACTACTTATTAAAACAACATACCGATACCATGAACTAAATAAAATAAAATTAATAATACGAGCACGAAAGTCGAAGAAGAACGATTGATGAAAAGAAATAAGATGAAACGACTAACACATACGACCGAACAGTGCAAGGCACTATTAAAATGTCTGTTTGGATAAATTTTAGTTGCCTATGGCAAAACTCTTGTTGTTTGCCAAGAACTCACTCAAATAACATGATTGGTGTACGATAAAGTGAACACAGCAAATATTGACGTTAAAACACACACAAACGCCGTTTATGCCGCCAGCGGCATACACATTCGTCTCCAGGGGGCTACTATACACATATCCTATATATACAAACGGCAATACATCGCAGGTAATTGCATTAACATTAAAACACATTGAAATCACGTTCAAAACACAACGAGGAATATATTAACAGTTTAGTTTACATTCTCTCCCGAGAGCTCTTGCTCGGAATACACGCGATGTTATGATAACATTAGACTAAAATAAATATTTAAAAAATATACAATTTAAACTCTATGGAGACTCGAAATTTGAAAGACTGTTAAATTTGAGCCAGAAATAAGACTTCAACAATCTTTGAAGTCAGGTTGACCATTTTACGTGGCTCGAATGTTTTGGGATAGATTATTTATTATATATAGGTATTTCGAAATGTACCACTAAGGATTTTCTTTTGAGCCATTTTAGTATTTTGACTGGAATATAAGTTTTAGACACTTGCGACACATCCCTATACGGTTGGGGTAATATCCCTTCCACCTCCTCCGGGATTCAGTTGTCTCGTGTAAAATGGAAATAATTTATGTTGAACAAGCTATAGCGATCTCATATAACAATCACGGTCTATCTTTGTATATTAGTTTTGTGTCACAGCACATGACGCCAAATATTAACAGAAAAGTTGTATACCTCTATTCACTAAATAATGTTTTACAAATGAAATGGAATGCTATATAATTAAATGTATATATAAATGTGAGTTATCGCGCAGAAGAAATTCAATCTGATTTGAATTGGTCGTAAATATAAATACAAAAGTACCTAATTGATAATTTTAGCGTTTTTCCTATATACAAAAAAAATATTTATTTATTCTTCTATTGATTCTATTATCGGCGTCATGGTTACGGTTTCATTTTCTTCATTCTTAGCTACCTCATTGTTAATTATTTTCTTTTTCTCTTTCTTGCTCATTTTAAAAGGTTCATCACCATCGAGTTTGTCGTCTTCTAAATCAAGGGATCCTTTCTTCCGCTTCTTTACTGTCTCCAGGAATCCGAGACGAAGGCGACGATTGTTCGCCACGTAGATGACAGGATACAGAGCTCCACTTACAAACGTAAGCAAGACAGTGATCACCATGACTGCCTGTGGCATTGGCGCGACCTCATATGTTTCTACATACTTGCAAACGAAATACGGAAACCAGCAAACAAAAAAGACGACCCATACCC